TAATCGCTTAGTAACTGCGGATAATATTTTAGAGTCTGCCTCTTTAACGTTTGAACATATATTAGCAGCAGCAGCCATTACCTGTTATAAATATATTCCTCTTTTTAAATAAAATTAATAAGTCGGAGGAGTTTAAAATAGTTAGGTTTAAGAAACGTTTAAAGAAACATTACATTTATTTGAATAAAAAATATACACTATGTTTTATTGCTAGTAAACGCAACTAAATTGATGATCACATCAAAATAATTTAAAAACCTAGTAAAAATATTAAGGTTATTTAAAATTTATTTTTGTTTTCACAAAATCATTATTAGCATGAAAAATATATGCACAAAGAAGAAAATGAGAGAATATTATTATGTTATAATCCTGTATTTTATACGCGTATAATAAACACCGCGAAGATTATAAATTATTAATAAACACTTAATATCCTTTGACTTCCTCTTTATATAGACTATATCAGTAATTTCAACAAACTAAATATATATCATTATTTACAGTATCGTGTAAAATTTGTGTTTATACATATAAACGTGTTTATATAAAATAATTTAATACGTACATACCTGATAATCGTTAAACTAATTCGTAATTATTTGTCAAATTAATTCACGTAAAAAAACTTACAAATTAAAAAATTATAAATTTATAAATTTCTTTTTTGCTCGAGAAGATAATGTAAATTTATATTGAGCTGACGGCCAATTTCGCGAATGAATTTCCATTTGCTGTTTATTTATTTTGAACATCATTAGTTGCAATCAGTAATCTAGACATCGTTAAATCTCACGCTTCGTACATTGCGCTCAAAAGATCTGAAGATTATGGCACTCGTGTTAGACGGATGTTGCACGATCGATTAGCTCTTGGTACGTGGTTATTGAACATCCTCAGGGTGTCTCTGTGGTTTGTAGGGGATAATCGAACTCGGAGCGCAGGTGATGCACATTCGAGATAGCGAACATGCGAGCGTTACGTCATCATGTTCTCCAGCTTTGCCATTAGTTGGCGACTCGCTCGGTTTATAGTATGCTCTGTTGCGATATGACGCGACGTGGTTTCGTGAAAAATAAAATTACGTCTCGAATCACGAAATTACATTGCTCAAAACAGTTATCACAAACAGGAATCATTTTTTCAAAAAAAAGCATTGCTAAGTGAAGGTTAATTAGAAAACTAAAAGCTAATGAAAAAATAATTAACAAAATACATGTATAAAATAATTAACAATAAATGTATAAAATTTACACGAAATTCCAAATGTATAAAGTTTCTCGATTTTTACTTTTCTTTAATTGATTTTCTTGAAGCCTAAAAATTTAGGTAAATATGTGAAAATAATTTTGTTAGACTATCACAATAATTATGAAGAAAATTCAAACATGATGAGCGATGCTGCAAAAAATTTGGTTGTCATTCAAGCAACCAACTTGAGCGTTTTACATTATTTTCATGATTTCAACTTCGAAATTATTTTCCGATCTGTATCTTGCTAAATTTCAGATTTTTAGTAAAATTGTTAATTTTTTCATATTTTTTTACCCCTACATAAAAAAGATTATAATGTGTAATACTGCTATTTTTAGGAAACATTAATTAATTACATTAATTGCATTGCTCGTAAAATAATTATTTATTGTAAATATGATAACGTTGTAGGTACCTGCAACGTTTGGTATGAATCTGTGTGTTGAAAACGTGAGTCAAAGAGCCGGTAATCACGTCCACGATAAAAGCAAGCTCAGCAATCTTGCTTTTTTCCTCACACTATATACATATATATAAATATATATCTCTATTCCTATCCCTCTGGTTAGCTTGGCGCGCACAATGACCCTAACCCTTCGTTATAGTTATGCATTCACGTGTAACGGGTGCCCAGTTTTTCCCTTCTCTCTCTTTCTATCTCTCTCCTTTTTTTATTCCTCTTGTCTTTCCTATCTTTTAATCTCTTATCTGAAAGGGTTGCTAACATCGTTCCAGGTATTTAACACATATCCCGTTCTCGAACGTGAATTGCATATGTAAATGTTGCATATCATAAGCACCGACCTCGCAGTTCTCGTAACTTTTTATAAGGAATGTGATAATGTAGCCGCGTAACAAATCAGTGTGTCGGAAATAAGGAGTACCTCCGCACAATCACAATTTCTTTTACATAGTGTATAGCGTATACGTATTTTTACACACGCCCAGGAAATAACGGGAAATTCCATACAAGGGATAGGATTGTAATTCAAATTCACTGCAAGTATTTATTTTCAAACACAGCTGTTATTAATTGCTTTTGTATATATTTAGCATCTTCTAACGGAAATGACGAAAATCAGGGGTTTTCTGATACATCCAGATATATTCCATTTATACGTTTTATTCTATTTACGTATTATATTAATTATATTAGCAAATACGTATATTTAATTATTTATATATTTATTATATCGTGTCCTTACTTTAAAGGTGACATAAATAAAAAAATATCATTTTTTGAATTATTAACATGAATAAATTAAATAATTATCTTAAAGGATATATAAATATTATCTTTATCAAAAGTGAGCTAATTTAACTTTATAAAAGAACTTTATAAAAAAATTATCAAAATTATTATAACAAAAAAGGGTAGTTTTTTAAGGGATATGAAACGAAAACGACGGAATTGAAAAATATAATTTTTTTTTTCTTTGAGAAAATTGTTTGAGTTATCACTTTCGAAATAAGGAAACTCTATTTAAATAGAAAAAATATGATAGGCGGAAGGTACTCCATATTTCCTTGTATCTGAATTCATAAGTGTATATATGTACTTTCTCTTTTATTTTTTAACCACATTTGACAAACTACATAATCGCATATTTCTCAAATCACCATGTACAAGCCATGACGAAAACTACGTTTGAAAACACTACCCGGATAAAGGATAAAATGATACTCGAAGGCATTCGGGTAGTGTTTTTGAACGCACCCAAAGAGGAAATTAACATTTTAGGATATAATTGCTGATTTACGAAGCGTGAGGACGTTACGCAAGAAGTAATAATTCGATTATCGCGAACGCTTTGGCTTGCTTCGAAAACCGAAAAACGATTCGTGGAACATGTTCCTATTACGAACAGGAAACTGTTGCCTATGTATCGCAGTATTTGCAGCCGCAATTTACGCTGGAGTTACACGGCCGACCTGTCAACGAAGAGCAATTCTATCGCTTGTGATTGGCGCCTCTCTTACTCGATCTCTTCCTCGAAATGATTGTTTCCAGTTAATTGTCGGTTTTTCCGTTTTTCTTTTTCTCTTTCTTCCTTTCTCTCTCTTTTTCCCTCCTTCTTCTACCCCGCAACGTATTACACATCTAACTGGTTTTTACTTTGTGTGTGTGTTTCCGTGTTACCTGCCATGCCGCCGACAGATGGGGACCAAGTCTCGCCAGAGAAAGGTAATTTTTTTAATTTTTATGTTTTTCACGCAAGATTGCCTGCGGAATTAGTTCTTTTTCTTTTTTTTTTTTTTTTCGTCAACGTGCATGTCGGCATGCTGACACGATCGTTTTTCTCTGAGTGGCATCTACGTAATCCTCGAGTTGACCGTGTGTCGTAATTACTCGGAAAATATCTTTGTGAATGTATTCACAGCGGCAGGTAATAAAATTCTAAGTGATATCCTATGCAGCACACTTTATTCGAGAGAAATCCTGGAAATTATCTTAGGACGTTCAGAAGACATAGAGATGTCTTCTGATCGTCTTAGGATGTACCTTGGAAGTTTGTGCTATATAGGATTAACTGATAATGAATTACACCGATGAGATAGATTAGAAAGATTCGTTTTTTTAAACGCTTGATTGTGAGTCTTATTTGATATATCAGTTATTTAAATGCGCTATATTTTTACAATAATCGTATAGGTCATCTATAATAACGATCGTGGTATAAAATGTTCAGTAAGATTTATTATAGAATAGCTCAAGCGCTTTTACATACAAATCATGTTAAATTTGCAATTCCATATGCAATTTGCAAATGCTTACAATTTTCCGCCGTTATCGATTGGCAAATTGTTCGAATTTTAATCAGCACAAATCGATAATAGATTACTAATTCGGTTTTATTAGACTTGAGTTAGATACATATAGGAATGTTGTTTCTGAACACATTAACCCGTATAGCACAGAAACCTTTCAGAGGTATTTCAGAAATAGTTTCTCTGATGATTTGAAACATCCCAAAAACAGTACAAAATGTTTCTGTTCTGAGGCAACTTTGGAATAATAAAATATCAGCAATTCTTGCGTTCGAAACTTTATATAAAAAGTTTGCTGAAAAAAATCTTATTGAAAAATATCTTTAAGCTTTTTGAAATATTGCCGAAAGATTATTAAAATGGCTCTCTGAAATATGTCAGAAATGTTTCTGAAAATTTATTAAAATAAATTTAAAATCTCAAGAATTAGATCCTTTATATAAATCTCATAAATATATTTCTAAATTAATTTTTATACAATGCTAAACGAAACTGTACTTTTAAAATACATTTTATTTATTATTTTGAAGTTCAATTTTAGGGGGCTCTAAATTCTATTTTTGCTTACAAGAAATAAGAGAATACGCATTTATTTAACGGCGCGCGGCGATGCTGTTGCTTTTCAATTTTATTACGTGTGAAAGATTTCAGAAACATTCCTGTTGTAACATTTTATATGACATTGCAGAATTCTTTCAGAATTGTTGCACATAAAATGTGAAAGGTTGAAATGATTTTACAACTTTTCTGAAAGTTCTTTGCTACAATTGGTGCTGTATGGGAAGTGACCCATATGATTTCTTCTTCACGAATGCCACTGATAAGCAATTCATGATACAATAATAGGATCATAAATAAACTTGCGGATCAT